TGTTGTTGTTGTTGCCGATGATGTTGTTAATGTTTGTCATTGTTAGTAATGTCGTTATTGTTGTCATTGTCGTTGCTGTTGTTGTTGCTGTTTCTGTTGTTGTTGTTGTTGCCGATGATGTTGTTAATGTTTGTCATTGTTAGTAATGTCGTTATTGTTGTCATTGTCGTTGCTGTTGTTGTTGCTGTTTCTGTTGTTGTTGTTGTTGCCGATGATGTTGTTAATGTTTGTCATTGTTAGTAATGTCGTTATTGTTGTCATTGTCGTTGCTGTTGTTGTTGCTGTTTCTGTTGTTTTTGTTGTAGCCGATGATGTTGTTATTGTTTGTCATTGTTAGTAGTGTTGCTGTTGCTGCATTGTCGTTGCTGTTGTTGTTGTTGCTATTGTTGTTGTTGTTATTGTTGTTGTTGTTGTTGCCGTTGATGTTGTTAGTGTTGTTGTTGTTGTTGTTGTCGTTGTTGTTGCTGTTGTTATTGCTGTTGTTGTTGTTCTTGTTGTTGTTGTTGTTATTGTTGTTGTTGTCGTTGTTGTTGTTGTTGTTTTTTTAGTTTCTATTGTAATAGACTTACCTGACTGGAGTTCAATCCAGGGGGTGACCAAAGGTATTTTTTAGATGAAGGTCTCGTCTCGACAAACACCGGAGGCCCGGGCAGACTGGACACTGCGTCATTCTCAATCGACGTCACATCCGGAAATTCATCAAACTGTCCATCATCATGGTAAATAGTCATACTTGGAGGGGGAGGGGGCGGGAGATCATCGTCATCCCCATAACCGTTGTTATCATTGAGGTTGATGCCTTGTATTTTCACCTGGATACCATTAATTCCAGGTTGATTGGCGTCGTCTCCATTAGCAACGTCATGATTCTCACGTGGGCATTTGCAGTATGTACATACCTTCCTGGAATTGATCAAAAGAAAAAAATTCAGAAAAAAATGAAAATCCATTTATTATAGATCCATTCAAAGAGCGGAAAGCCCGCTATGTCTATTCAAAACTAACACAAGGAAAGAGTATACCCTGCCAACATTGCACTGTAGTCTTTGTTCATGCAGCCCAATATGGTTTTATTTGTACTGCAGCTAGACCATAATGCACCATGATTTTGGATTTAAAGGAAAGTTGTATTACAAACTGAAACTCCAGAGCAAATTCACGATATCCAGAATCGGGTAGTCTTCGAGTTACGCGTAACTCGAATGCACTTAAACTATGTTATTTCCATCGAGTTTTGGAGGTCAAATTGGTGCGCATTATTGCAAAAATGACCGTCATACGCCTCTGAAATTTGTTTCACGCCACTCTAGTGTTACAGACGCGCTCTCCTACAAGCCTCAAGACCGGTTCATACGTCGAGCCAGCGTCGCGCCGAACCAAATAGTCAATTTGTGTCGACCCAAATCCATTTGGTACGTCGTTGATTCATACGTCGAACCAAATGCAGTCAAAAGCATAAGAAAAGGTCCGATAACACGCAATTTACACAATTATTATTGTCGAAAAACGATATTTTTGTGATTAAGTTCGGCACGACGAAAGCTCGAAGATTGCATCAGCGTCGAGCTTTTGCCGTGCAGCAAGACTGCCACTGCCGTGCCACGGTCGCGCAGAACTCAATTGATACATACGTCGAGCTAGCTGTTCATGTGCTAAATTCAAACTATTTGGCATGAACCGGGCCTTAGACGTTATTTGATAGTTTTAATACAAGAAAAAATAATTAATATTGCTGATAATTCAGCGCAATCGTAATCCTTAAGGATTTTCGTGAATGGAATCTATAAGAAGACGTACAAGAGTACCTATTTAAGATATGATCTTTTAGCACTTCAGTCATAGAAAGCGTGCGTGTCCTTTTGTTATAAGTATCTGTAATTTCAGGCGGCAGATGACATGTGCATGGCAAGATGTTTGATATCAAAGTTGGGCTAAACCATGTGGGGTAGAGTACTTAGCATGTTTTCTATCAATGGATTAAAGTTGTTGCTAATTATCATATAATTATCTATGAAATACTCCATTTCGTAAAGTTATTT